GCCTAGAAATTCGAGAAGACATCCGAAAGTACGTTGCTGGATGCGAAAAATGCCCAGAAGACCAAGGTGCACACAACACGACCTTACCGGACTTCTCTTCCCCAACGAAATTCCTACGCGACCCTGGGAAATAATCTCGGTAGATAAGATAGGAGTACTACCCGAGTCCTTTGGGTATAACGCTATTCTCGTAGTCGTCTGCATGTATTCCAAGCAGATAATAGCGATACCAAGTAACATCGAACTCAATGCCGAAGGATGGGGAAAAGCACTTCGTGATCATGTAGTAGCACATCACGGACTTCCCCGGAAGATCATCAGCGATAGGGGCACCGAATTCAAGAACAAGTTCATCTCCGAACTGTACCGATCACTTGGAATCGAAGCCAATCCCTCCACCGCGTATCACCCTCAAACTGATGGACAAACAGAACGCATTAATCGCAAAATAGAACAATACCTCCGACTATTCATTAACTATCGACAAGCTGATTGGGCCGAATGGCTACCACTAGCGGCCTTTTCGTACAACAACAAAGTTCATTCGTCCACAGGGTATACCCCCTTCTTCGTCAATAAAGGGTACCACCCTTATGAAGGAACCCAACCGGTACGAGAAGGACTAAGTGAAAACGTCCAACAATTTGTCGATAGAATGGGTCGAGTACGCGAAGATACTAGCGCGGCTATCAGTTTAGCGCAGGAGTCTATGAAGCGCTTCTATGACCGAAAGAGAAAGAGCGGACTGGAATACAAAGTTGGGGATAAAGTTTGGCTAGAAGAAATAAACATCCGAACCGACAGGCCAATGAAGAAGCTCGACGATAAGCGATATGGACCCTTCAAGGTCAAACGCAAAGTCAGCGCTTCCGCCTATGAATTGGAACTCCCACGTCAATGGAAACAACACCCCGTTTTCAATGAAAGCCTTCTCAGTCCCTTCAAAGAACCCACGTATCCCTCTCAGCGACGTGAACCGGTAGTCCCTGACCTCGTAAATGGCGAGGAAGAATGGGAAGTCGAAGAAATCCTTGACTCCCGTCGTGACCGAAACGGAAATCTGGAGTATCAGGTACTCTGGAAGAACAGCCCCCACGGCGATCGCCGTTCCTGGGAATCACGAGCAAACTTGACTAATTGTCAGGAACTCCTTCAAGAATTCCACGCTAGACGTCCCGACAAACCCGCGCCTATGACGATTCGAATTCCCCCCTATTAACACGACCTGTTCACATACTCACGCGCGATACCACTCTTTTGGTACAACGGATGGGTGGGATTCTCCTGAAGCAAGGATCTGAAGAGTCGGCTGGGCTTGATCTCTACTCGGCTGAAAGCGTTAAGATACCGGCACGGGATCGCAAGATTGTCGGCACCGGCATAGCAATGCGTGCCCCTCACGGAACTTATGCACGAATTGCACCACGAAGTGGGTTAGCAGTCAAAGGAATAGATGTTGGCGCTGGGGCGGTAGACCGAGATTACACCGGAGAAGTACATGTAGTGTTGATCAACTCCACCAATCAACCATTCCAGGTACACGCCGGCGATCGAATTGCACAAGTCATTTTGGAACGCATTGCGTCATGCGATATCGAGGAGGTGTCCAGTTTAATGGAGACTCAACGAGGATCAGGAGGTTTTGGATCGACGGGTAAATAATCGTGAGGACACGATTCTAGACGGGGGGGTAATGTCATGAATATTACACAATCCGGATGGTTCTCCCGGATTCCATGGTATTCTCTTACTTTCTATACACCTCCGTATATTCATAGGATATTCTAGATATTCAGTCTGACATGTATATAAGGAGCTCATACTGCTCAATAACAAGCCAGACTTGAGCTGGTCTTTCCTCACTCACTTTCCTCTCGTCTGTCTCCTCAGCATTGTCGTAGCTCAGTCCAGTTGGATTGTTTGTTGCTGACACCTTTGCCGTGATCTCTCGACGCTGACGCGAAGTTTAAGCACCCTCTGTGCGAGTCGCGATCTGGTCCTGTTTATTGGCACTTACTCCTGCTGGCTTGGCTGCGGACACGTGGGTGTTCTTCTGGGTCACTGACATTTTGTACATCGTCTCTTGACATCGGCAAAAGACATGAAGCGGGCCCTTACCCCCACTACGACTCTTGCGCTTTGAATCGACTCTGCCAAGGCGTAGGCTCAGACATAGCAACCGCGTATGTATCGGCCATATTACGAGGAAGCGGCTGATAAACGTATTCTCTTCTTAGATAGTATTATCAGCTATTAGCGCTGAAGTGTGGCATTCTGAAGGCTTCTTTGTGACTGTCAATGCAGTACTGGACAGGCCCGGCCACTTGTGTACCTTGTGGCTTCTGCGGCGAGCCCATTGGTGATCGTACGTGGCAATGATATTGCGTTTGCTGTTGTCTAGGCCCGCTACCTACACTTTTTGCCAGACTGCCTCACGCGTCCCTCCGATTACGGTAGTTTGAGCGGGCCTGCTACTCCGCCCATTCCTTCTTTATCGAACGCTGAGCAGCCTCTACGAGCATTGTCTCAAGCGCCCCCCTCAAGCGCGCCCTCTCGTGAACATACGCGCCGAACTCCCCGCCGGTGGTGGTGCGCCGCGCTTCGCGGGTCCGATGTGAACATGCAGGCTCCGGCTCTGGGCGCAAATTAGACAGCTCGTCCACGACGTCTGCAGCGGGGACTACGGGATGACAAAACAACGCGCCGGGCCAAACTCGGATACAGCGCTTTATCGATTACGACGGCTTCAGTGTGCTTCCGCCTGCTCGTCGGCCGGCAGTTCCTCACCAGCGACGTCCTCTGTGAGCCTTGGCTGTAATTTCTATTCAATACTCCGACCGCCTTTCCAATCCTGGTACTCACTTTGTTCCCGAAAGCAGCGGCGGAGGCTTTTCGCACAGCTATTAACACCACGTGCGAGCAGGCTGTCCGATAGAGTTGTACCGGAAGTAGCCTACGAGGCAGAGGACCGACCTCCTCGTTGCACAGTGCTTGCTCGTCACTTTACCTCACACGAAGCCACATCCACGGAAAGCTCTTGGACAACAAATCTGTGCACCATCCTGCTTCGAGACATCCTTTCAATGTCGAGATATCGGCCAGCTGTACGCACATCCGTTCGGCAACTTGAGAGCACCGCATTGGCTGGAGCAAGCCATTCCTCTAGCTCGCCAACTTCGTGAGTTCTAGTACTCACACCAAGCGGGTGTGCGCAGTCGAAGTCGAACAGGCAGCTGTATTCCGTTTGCGGCAGGCAGATCATTGATGTACGCTGGCAGCCCTTAGGGTTAGGGCTCGCGCATGACGTACAACGATCACGACTACAGTCCATCTCCCCTCATCCTCTCCCCTCTTTACACCTCCCCGCCATGGCTTTTGTCGTCGAGACGCGAACAGGATTGCCACCACTGGGGCTGGCTCCGAATTTGAAGGACCTCGCCAAGGAAGAGGTCCCCACCCGCAGCAGACGTCATACAATGGGCCTCGGTGTGTCGCCTTGCTGTATCCTGCCCTCTCTTGTGCTGAACCGTCGCCCAGGTATCACCGCAATCTGTGGGTGCACCAGTTATACAATACCTCAAAGCCTCGCAAGTATTTCCCCGCGATCGCGAGCACGGGCGCGGTCCAAGTTCGACCAGGTGGTGGTGCCTTGGTCCCCGCGGGCCCGCGCCCACCACCGATACAAGCCTAAGCCCTGGTATAGTCGACATCAGTGACCTGAGCAAGGGCCTTGTCATCCGGTGGTACGTCTGGCTACTCCTTGGCTGCAGTTTGGTCCTGCCCACCGTCGTTGGCGGGCTTGGCTGGGGTGAATGGAAGGGCAGATCATTCTTCGCGGGTGTGGCTCATTTGTGCTTTGTTCGCCACGTACGTGATCTTCCATTTTTGCACGCAAATGTGCCTATATCAACTTTCTTGCAGTCAACTTCCTGCGCCAACTCGCTCGCACACCGGCTCGGCGAGACTCCCGTCGTCGACGACAAAAATACGCCGCGCGTCCGCTTCGTTACCACGCTCGTCGCCGTTGGCGAGAGCTACCACAACTTCCGTCACCAGTTCCCGATGGACTACCGGAGTGCGATTAGGTAGTACTAGTACAGTCCGACGAAGTGGCGTACTTGGGCGTGCGCAGCTAGGCCTGGCGAGCGATCTGAAGGTCTTTCCGAGAACGAAGTGAACAAGGACCAGCCGACGATGGGGCCGAAGCGGCTGTGGGCGATGCAGGACGGCCTTGCGTGGGCAACAGACGTCCAGGAACTGTCAGTGGTTGGCTGGGAGACCTGTACGTCCAGCATCAGGTGTTTCGTGCCATCCAGCGACGCTTATTGACTCGCATATAACTCAGGAACAACTGGCCGAACTCTCACTCATCGTCATCGCGGGCTTCATTCGCGGCGTCGCTGACGAACACCTCGGTAGGCGCCATCTGCTGGTGAAGTACATCAGTAAGGTCGCGACGACGGTGTTCTTTTGGTGGTGTCTATGACCATTCGGACACTGCTCACAGCGTGAGCACAATCCCTCTTTCCCTCACGCGATTTTTCTGATGTCACACTCGTAGTTACTGTCTTTGAGGCGCGTCGAGATCCTGCCAGCCTAGAACAAGTACGATCGCACTGGCGTAGTGGCCCCGGGTTGCGCGGTACAACGAGCTTTGTGAGTCGCCGTGATGCCGAACAACGAGGGCATCCTCGACCGAGCGTCGTCCGCAAGTTTGTGGTTTTCGGTTACCTTTTGATGACGAGGCGCGTCGACAAGTACATGGAAGTATTTGATAGAGCGAGGGAGAACTGGAAGGCGAACGAGTTGTAAAGTATTTAGCCATGCACAGCGAGTATGTATAGGACAAGATTCGAGCCCACAGATTGCATGAGAAGGTCTATCGTAGTGACTGCGGCGTCAAAGACGTATGAAACCGTCCATCGCTCCCTTTCTCTTGCTTCTGACTTGTTTGCCGATGCTCTCAAGCTCTCTTATCGTACCATCAGGAGTAGCCACGTCTTCTCCTTCTCCGCCTTCTTTGTCTCCTGTCCGATTCTAGGACACCGACAGACATTTCCCCGCGCGGTTGTCTTTGGGGCGCGCTGCGCACCGAGAGGGGCCGTATCCACGCGCCAGGGTCATCAAGTTGAGGCGCTTCTGCAGGAACTAATGATATCCCAGGACCGCGGGAGCAATGGGGCGTGGCATACCGACGTCGCATCTTGTGCACCGGCGACCTGCCTGGTAGAGACGTGTCAGGACGAGAGACGCGTGGTTAAAACCGAAGTTTTCGTAGCCGTCGCGGTATCAGAACTGCCGCATGGCCTTGATAAATGCGGCAGATTTGATGTCGCTGACGGTGCCACCAAGCTTGAATGCGCTGTAAGCACGTTTAGAAGATGTCCGCAAGCGATCACGTACTCCCAGGATGCGGAGATCCGGCTGTTCACCTGCATTGTCAATAGCGATTTATTCTATATATTATATTATTTGTGACACGCCCCACTCGGTCTTCGATGGCATTCGTTACATGAGGAACAGTCTACGATGCAGATGAGAGCAAGAACCCCAGCTGCCACAGACGAAACTCACTTGGATGGTCTTCCCATGATAGTCGCCACGCCTCTGTAAGACAAGTTGCGTCAGACAAACTCAGAGGGGGTTGCCTCGAGACGCACTTCATTTTCGATAATTCGGCTGTAGATTTCGCCAGTCGTGATATTATTATCACGCGACAGTGCCGCGCCAAGTCAGTGTTCATAATGTCCGAGGCCAAGGTCGACCTCTCCACCATCGTTCAGGACACAAACTTCACCTGCAAATTTCGTGTTGAGCGCATGTACTAAGGCTTCGCAAAACCGCACGGCACACCAGCACCATGTTCCCGTCGTTCCTACCTCGATTGTCGTAGCTTTCGGACCAGCCGTCCTCACGGGCAGCCCGCTCGAAGACGCTGCGGCGCACAGTGAGCTTTCGCCAAGACCAGGCTGCCAGTTCGAGAGCGCACCGATGACGTCCTTCCTGATACCGCTCGCCAAGCCAGAAACGAAAATATATTTCATTTGTGCTGTGTTCCGGAAGGAAAATGGCGGGAAACATGAGCCAAACCGCAGGACGCAGCGACTCTTTCGAGTAAAAGCTCGCTTCTCAAAATTTCCTGCACCCTGCGCATTGGGCACTCAATGAGTGACCGGAGCACGTCGGTCTTGGGCGCTGGCAGGAAGCCCACCCGCGATGTAATTTGCCCACCAGCATTCGTCGCCCATGCATTCGTCTGCTGAACGTGCGGCACAATGAGTTTCCACATGTTCGCGCCGCTGAGCTCGAGCGCCTTGATGCTCGTCGCGAGGTCGTCGAGCACGAAGTGCAGCAGAGGGAGCAGTGTGCTGTCCTGCACCGCCATAACGTGCAGCCCGAACTGGCGCAGCGCATGACGTACTCGTGGCGCTCCGTGTCATAGCCGTGTAGCGAGAGGGCCAGGGGGGAGTCGCTGAAGGTGGGTCTGAGAACGCGGAAGTGGTAGCGTAAAGTAAGAAGAGGATGGAGCGCGGCGGGGGCAGTCGAGCGAGCGACGTGGTCAACAAGAGCCATGCCGACGACGTTGGTTATGTGGGAATCTGGCCCGGCCGGACACAGCCATTGACCATACACCAGAGGAGGCCGTCGGTGTTTGTCACTGATAAGTAGGTTAGTGCTCTGCTGAGGTATCGATGGCAAAACGACACTCACAGGCGGTCTTGAAGCCAAGACGACATAGCCAGGACAGATGATGTGTCCCGCGTCTCCAACGCCCACTTGCTGTGTCCATAACCCATTTTCAGCGTCGCCCGCACCCCTCAAGTTCATCGTCCTCAGAGATCCCCTCCTCTCCTGCCGGTGTTGGCGTTCTTGGCCTGCCCTCTGGCGGCTGCGGTTCAGAGCGAGAGCGCAAACAGAGGGAAACACTAGTATGAAATCGGCTCATGGAGATCGTCGTAGGCCGGTCAGGTTGGGCACCGCATTGCAACCGCAACGATCGCAACGATCTGTAATGCAACCTAAGGCCGTGGTGAGACTGGTGGCAGCAGTCAAGGAGTAAAAAGACATACCGGGGCGACATCTTTGTCACGAAAGCGTGCTTCTGGTTCATATAATACACGGAGGCTAACGAGGCCGTTGGGGCTCCTGATGTAGGTAGCAGTCTGCGGTCGAGGATGAGACGTATTGCAGAAACGAACTGATAGAAGAGAAGGTACGGCGTACAGCAGGCAGCGCACGAGGTTTGATGGCGCGACGACGAGCTGACAGAAAGGATGGTCCCAGCGTGCTCGCCACAACGGTCAAACGCAGAGTAAGCACTTCTTCCTAAGACAAAATTTGCGAGCAGGAGTGACGACTGCAGAACGTGCCCTGTGTGAGATCATAGCTGAATTCAGCAAGCAATGCATAACGGTTACAGTATAGCTACGCACCTTGGCTCCCCTGCCACACTGTTCGCCTTTCGCGTACCGCCTTTCGCGTACCGCCTATGCTCAGGCCCAACTCGGGTCAGCCCAGCTGTAGCCGTTTACGTTCGTGCCCGTCTGGGGGGATGGTAGAATGAGACATATTGCGTACATGAACGGGCAGAGGAGAACATACACAGTACTTCAGATAGTGCCAGCAGCTCGTTGACGCGATGGCACGCTGGCAGAAGAACGATTGTCGGTGGGCTCGACGCAGAAGGGCGATTCCCGTGCTGTCGTGAAGTAAGTGCTTCCTAGCGAGCAGGAGTGGCAGATGCAGAATGTGCACTGTGCGAGGTCATAACTAAATTTAGCAAGAAAAGCGCAGAGGTTAGAATGCAACTACGCACCTGTGGCTCCCCCAGCGGCATACTGCTCGCCTTGCGTGTACTGCCTACGCTCAGGTTCAACTCAGGTCCGCCCAGATGTAGCCGCATCGTCGACGCTGATACCCGTCTGCGCGGGTTACCGCGAAACAATCGAGGGGTTGCATGAGAGATTTCACAGCGATGTGCTTCACGAGATGGCAGTAGAGGGAGTTCTAAGCGGTGTATATATTGGGCGTCTGGTACACCTTGCGCCCGAATCGCGATCACATACATTAAATCACATCCGGGCGCGCTTGCAGCGTCGCCTGACTCGCCTTCGCGCCATAAGACTATCTTTCTGCAAGCTGCAGTCAATCTGCCCGGATATCTGTTGGGAAACTCCCGCTTACTCGAATCGTTATCACCGACGTACATCTCTGCGGTCCCTTTACGCCTTCCTGCACACCGACCGATGTTGAGGCGAAGATGGGCCATATACTATACGCCCGAATATCCCGCTTGAACTTGCTTCCTTCTGGCTCACACTGCTCTTTTCATTATCTATGAGACAGCTGCATGCTGTATTCTGTAAGGGGTACGTCAAACACTGCAGACGTCGTTCAACGTTCTCGCCGATCTGACATCGGCCCGTAGATGCAGAACTTGAAGTCGTCGCTTGCCGTCTTCTGTTGCTTGCTCTGCCGCACTTGATTTCGACGAGAATAACAGGAGGTGCGTTTGTTGGTTGTCATGCGAGGGAGCGTGTTCTAAGAGCCTATAGTCGATCGAATCACCCATGCGAGACGGCGCACAAAACGTTTTTGGGGATGGTAGAGATATTAATCCTATGCACAGACTGGCCAGTGCTTGGGCATAGCAATACGGAAATCACGTACGAGATTGCTCTGCACTCCCTCTGGATTGCCGTGGCTTGCGGCTTGGCCCAAGAGTGGCAGCAAATGTAAGCGAATTGGTTTCATAGTCGAAGTCAGCGTTGGCTCACTACGCTGATTAGGCAGCGTTATTGTGCATCTGCCTGAAATCCATGAAAGCTTTTGAATCTGTATCCTGTGCGAGAGCTTCGCCGACTCCACGACCCGCGCCCCTGGTACCGTCCGCACCGCCACCAATAATTATAAGAAAACTTCTCCAGTTGCTTATGACCTTAAGGCTTGCGGTATCTTTTGGCCCACTCTCAGTGCATTCCAGGCATACCCTCCTCGGCTCCATCGAGCGGAAACGCGACGCACAGTTCTCCTGCGCCTTCTGGCGGCGCACCGCCCAGTGCCGATCGTCTGCGTTTTGCAGGTGTTAACATCGCCGGTCTCGACTTTGGCTGCAGCATGGATGGCTCGCGCACGGCCAACAGCGCGTGGCCTACTCTGCTTGAGTACTACGGCCACGATGGCAAAGGACCGACGCAACGCTTTCGATGACGACGGCTTCAACGTCTTCCGTCACCCTGTCGGCCGGCAGTTCCTCACCGACAACGTGCTCACTGACACACTAGGTGAGGATGACTTCTAGTAGCGCAATGACCTTGTTCAGGCTTTCTTGACTACCGATGCAAGCTACATCATCAATGTGCACAATGTGCTCAGTGGGATGGAGAGGTAACTCGTGCTCTCCGCGCTATACTGTACTCCCTGAACTGACGTCTACTTTTAGATCATCGGCCCCAAGGTGCTCCAAGCGATGAGATTTTTGCTTCACTCTCGCAAGCGAAGACGTCGAAAATGGCCAAATCATCTTCGAGGTGTGAGTACGCAGCATCCTTCACCCCGACTCGGACGTTTATTTTTTGTCAGCATGAATGAGCCCATGATATCCCCGACATCAATATCTCGGTGAGATCTATCCAGGCCACTGCTACCGCCATATGTCAGGCAGGCGCGGCGACGCAGCTGATTCTGCTCCCGGGCAACGACCACACGTCCGCCAAGACCTTCATCTCAGACGGCTCCATGTCTGCCCTCGGCAATGGACTTCACCAATCCCGTCTTCTGCGCCCACAAGCACCTCGAGTTGGGCCACTGGCACGTTCTTCGCCGGACTTGCTCGAGATGGATGCTAATGGACTGCGTGGCCAGCAACATCGACGATGCCTTCGGCCTGCTTGCGACCTGCTTGCATGTCAGCGGCCACTATGCGTTCAACACCGAGACCGGCAGCAGAAACACCGACCCGTGTGTGACGCACCTCTGCCAGCGGATTGCCTTCGTCCAGCAGAACTTTGATGGTGCGCCCGTTTCTGTCAGGTATGTAGTAACGTCTGACGAGGGTGTGCAGTCTTCCTCGGCTATGTCGGCAGGGCATCGACGAATTGCATGCATGCATCCACCCGGCAGTCTCGCGAGCGTTGAGAATGAGAATGGGCGATTGCTGATATACCTCTGACTATTCGGCTCGAGGAGGCACAAGGTCAGCCCGTCTCGCCTTCACCGTGATCTCCGGACGCTGACGCGAAGTTGGGTCATCCTGTGTGCGAGTCATGGGTCCTGTGTACTGACATTTGCTCCAGCTGGCTTGGCTGCGGAGGCATGAGCATTCTCCTGGATATTGCCGCCGCATGTGTCACACGCAGTAAGAAGCCAAGCTTGACTTGGTGAACGACTGTCTCTTGACATAGGTGAAAGACACGAAGTGGACCCTTACCCCTGCGACTCTTGCGCTTTGAATTGTCTCTGCCAAGGCGTCGGCTCATGTATAGCAGCAATGTATTAATCGGCCATGTTGCAAGAAGACAAGCGGCTGATGAATGAGTTTTGTTTCCAGGTAGTATTGTTGGTTATGAGCGCTGAGGTTTGGGATTCAAATTCTGAAGACTTCATCATAGCTATCATGCAGAGCTGAACAGGCCCCACCACTTGCGTGTCCTGTGGCTTTTGCAGCGAGCGAGCTCAATGATCGTACCTGGCAAGATCTTTATTGTTTCCTAGACCCGCTACTTACGCTTTCTACCAGACCTCCCACGCATCCCGTAGATTGCAGTACTCGGGCGGGCCTGCTGCCCTGCCAACAGCGAGGGCGATCGCAAGCATCGTGACTATCACCTCCCTACCGAGCGCCGAGCAGCAGCTTCTACAGCTCTTCGTCGGTGTCATGAATATTACATATTCCAGATGGTTCTCCCAGATTCCATGATATTCTTTTACTTTCTATACACCTCTGTATATTCGTAGGATATTCTAGATATTCAGTCTGACATGTATATAAGGAGCTCGTACTGCTCAATAACAAGCCAGACTCGAGCTGGTCTTTTCTCACTCACATTCCTCTCATCTGTCTCCTCAACATTGTCATAGCTCAGTCCAGTTGGATTGTTAGTTGCTGACATTAGCTCGAGTCTTCACCAACTGCCCTACGACGATCCTCGTCACTCTCACACCAACCATCACTTAGCTCCACACGACGATCCATCTCATATCACCCAACCAAAATCTCACCCCAATCCTAACCCTATCGACTCTACCACATCAAGACCCCTGGAACCCTTCTCCGCGCACTTGCGCATTTTACCATATCACACACCCCGAAGCCACCTCTGTAATCACCAGCCCTTAGGCGGCTGGATAGAGCTCCGTCCAATTAGAATCGTACACTGCCCTACCATAGGTGGTGTTAAACGCTTTGCGCAGTGCAAGCGGATATTCCTGAGTACGACGTGGCAACCGGCTGAGGCTGGGCGTCAGAAAAGAGATAGCAGTTAGATCGACGATCCCTGTCAGGGCGTCGGACCGAAGAGACATAATCGCTCTTTGGGCTGCTATACTATTCCTAGAACTGTATTAAGATAGCATTTCGGCTCTTTTTCAGAAATTCCTATCTTTGGCGAACTCTACCCCTGATCTGGTCGTTACGACACGATTAGTCCCAGGGTTTGCTGCAACCGGCTTCACGGATCCGACACCCTATGACCACGCCGTTCTGCTATTGTAGAGGACATACACATCGAGAGCTAGAAGGGAGATCCGTCTACCTACGCGGTGACAACTTACGGTACTGCGCGCAACAACCCTGCCTGCATTTTCCGGATAATAGCAATGTTGTCCTCGGTGTAGAGAAGGACTACGCGGAGAGCCACTATCGAGAGTTACTACAGGAGCACCCTCAGAATCTATCGCGGTACCACAACCCACAGCATCCGGTTCAGAACCCAGAACCAGATGAGATACTCTCGAATCAGTCACTGATAATCTCCGTTCGATCGCCCTTGGAGAATCCGAAGCACCACCAGAGAGCCCACCAGACCCTGTGGAAGAAGCAGTAGAAGATTCTGAAGCTTTGAACCCACCTTCCCAACGCTCTCCCACTCCACCTTCATTCCCATCCGATCCCGGCGCGATGGCCGAGAACCAAGATAGTGCCGCGCTTCTCAATGGAAGCGCGATGAAGCCAGACGCCTTCGACGGCACAAAATCCAAGTACATTGCTTGGAAAACCCAAATGAAACCCTATGTAGTTACACAGAGGAAGCGGCTACCAGAGCAGTTTGACAGAGTCCTTATGATTCTGTCTTACATGAAAGGTGGACACGCGGGCGAATATGTCGCTACGTTCATGAAGAAATACGACGCAGACGAAGATTCCGTAATACAGACCACAAAGACACTGTGGGAAGACCTGGACAGGCACTTCTTAATCGATGAGCAAGCCGAAGCATACGATCAGCTCCAGGCAATGCAGATGGGAACGTTGTCGGCACAGGAATTCTTCTCGAAATTCGAGTTATGTGCCTTCCAGGCAAACATTCACGATTTCGAAGCACACTTCTAGGAACTCAAGTCGCTCCTAGAAAAAGCACTCCGGGCCGACATCATTCGGCTTCTGTACAATTCATCGGAAGAACTCCCCACCACATATGCACTCTACAAGCAACGGGTCGCGCGCATCGACCTGAATCAGCAACAGTATCGCTGAAGAAACCCTCAGTCCCAACGACAGGGACAGTTTCAACCAAGGCAGCAGCAGGTGCAAAACACACCGCGAGCGCAAACGAATGCACCCGCACCAGCAACTGCTACGGCGCCAGTTCAAACACGGCGCGACGGAACCGGTGTCACATTCGGCGGCAGGGGACAACCAATGGATTTAGATCAAGCGCGACGCCAGGGTCTCTGCTTCCGATGTGGTCAACAAGGCCACATATCACGAAATTGCCCTAATCGGCAACAAGCTCAACAAGTACGAGCCACGGAAACCCCGGTAGTTCCCACTACCAATACGTTCACACCACTAGCGTCACTCAACGAAGCCCCTGCCGCGACGGCGGAACCATTCGATTGGAAGGTGGCAATTCGCGAAGAAATTTGCGCGGCCATGAAGGGTTTTGCAAGCAGTCAGCCGGGTGCGTAGCCGAGTTGACCGAACGTAATTTCACGAACTATCTGTGTTCTTGGTTTGGAGTAGCAATGTATATACCAGAAAAAGGGGCGTCCGCAGAGCGGCGCGGAGAGGCACAACCCTCTTGCTTAATTCCCCCAAATAAAAAATTATTGCCTACACCAGAACATCAGACCGAATCTACGCAATGGCAGCGCCACACACCTTGGACAGCGGCTTGGATCCGCCAATGGATAATCAGCAAAGAAGCCTCGGCGCTTAGATTGCTGACTGAATGGGTACACTCAAAGAAGAGTGTCGATGCCTCTGAAGCCTGTATGAACCAAATCAGGCAAATGAAAGAAGAAGAAGCTATAGACTTCTTAAATGAATTGAGAAAGCAGCCCCGATTCATCCGAGGAAGGAAGGGGACACAGATGGACGTCCCAATGATCATAACCACCCTGGACACGCAGCAGCGCTTATCAGTCAAAGCGCTATTAGACACAGGATGTACTGGATCTTCGATCGATGCACAGTTTGTTCGCGATAACAACACCGCTACAAAGAAACTGCCATCACCGGTCCCTGTCTATAATGCAGATGGCACGCATAATGCCGGCGGCGCTATCACAGACTTCGTTGAGTTAAGGGTGGAAATTCAGGACCATGTAGAGCGACTCCCTTTTGCAGTTACCAATCTAGGAAAGACTCCAATCTTCCTTGGATATGAGTGGTTACAGATTCATAACCTGTCCATTGATTGGCAGGAACAAATCATTCAGTTTGATCGGTGTCCGATTACGTGCAAATACGCCGCCCGATTAATTGATATTGATGCCAATCATGAAGAGCCCAGCGATCCGGAGGCTCGCCTAGAAGAAGGGGATAGAATCTTTATTTTAGACCATGAAACGTACTTCGCGACGGGAGCAGCACGCATTCGCACCACAGCCACTGATCTAGCGATCAAAGAAAGTCTAAAACACGAAGCCAAGACCTTTGAAAATACCGTCCCAAGTCACTATCACGACTACTCCGACATATTTAGCAAAGAAGACTTTGATTCTTTACCGCAAAGATGACCGTGGGACCATGCAATTGAACTCACACCAGGCGCACAGCCGATCAGCTGCAAAGTTTACCCTATCTCCGTGAATGAACAAAAAGAACTTGATGAATTCATAGAAGAGAACCTTCGAACTGGGAGAATCCGACCATCGAAATCCCTGTGGGCTTCTCCATTCTTCTTTGTCAAGAAAAAAGACAGACGACTGCGGCCTGTACAAGACTATCGGAAGCTGAATGAGCTTACGATCAAGAACCGCTATCCACTTCCTTTGATACAAGAACTAGTGGACAAGCTAAAGCAGGCACGGTACTTTACAAAATTAGACGTCCAATGGGGATACAACAACATCCGCATCAAAGAAGGAGACAAAGAGAAGGTGGCGTTCCTAACGAATCGAGGATTATTCGAGCCCCTTGTCATGTTCTTTGGCCTTACCAATTCCCCGGCTACATTCCAAATCATGATGAACGACATATTCCAAGATCTCATCAGTCAAGGACATGTGGTAGTCTATCTAGACAACATCATGATCTTCACTCAAGACTTGAAAGAACACCGCCAGATCACGCGGCAAGTTCTTCAGATCTTAAGGGAACACAAACTTTATCTGAAACCGGAAAAGTGCGAGTTCGAGAAGGCAGAAATAGAATATCTCGGGATGATAGTAGGAAAAGGAGTTGTTCGCATGGATCCGGTCAAGATAGAAGGAGTCGTCAATTGGCCACGGCCCGAGTGCAAACGAGACATTCAAGCATTCCTTGGATTCACCAACTTCTATCGAAGGTTCATCCGAGACTATGGCAAAATAGCAAAGCCGCTCAGTTCACTAACAGGCAACGCTACTTTCGAATGGACCGTTGAACAAGAAGTAGCCTTCACAAACTGGAAGAACGCTCTCTGCACAGCGCCAGTGCTAGCCATACCCAATGACAACGATCCATATCGAGTAGAATGTGACGCCTCGGACTTTGCCATATAGGGAGTATTAACCCAGAAACAAGATGGGAAATGGAAGCCTGTTGCTTACCTATCTAAAGCCATGACAGCTGCCGAAAGAAATTACGAGATTTACGACAAGGAACTTCTAGCAATCATGACTAGTCTTGATGAGTGGCGCCAGTACCTTATGGGCGCCGTACATCCATTCGAAATATGGACGGATCACAAGAACCTAGAATACTTCCGGAAGCCGCAGAAGCTTAACCAGCGACAGGCCCGATGGGTAACTGAGTTAGCGGAATACCAATACTCGCTGCATCACAAGCCCGGCAAATCCAATGGCAAAGCAGACGGACTATCTCGCCAAAAGAGGCACAATGCAGGAAAGGAAGACAATTCAGATATTGTGTTACTGAAACCAGAACATTTTCGTGCTCTGATCCGTAGTACCGTATTTAGTTTGGAAGGAATTGACCAGGACTGGGTCACAGAAATTAAAAAATACAAAAAGAACCGAGATTCGCTAGTTACCGTAGCTTTACAGAACAAGGACAAAGACTGGAACAAAGATAGTATCGGACTTGTAACGTGGAAGAACCGTATTTACGTACCGGTAAATAGAAAACTCCGTGAGCAGATCATTGCTCACCATCATGATACCCCATTGGCTGGACATCTTGGTCAATACAAGACGCATGAAATGGTCACGCGCAACTACTGGTGGCCCCAAATTCGAGAAGATGTCAGGAAGTACGTGGCTGGATGCGAGAAATGCCAGAAGACCAAGGTCCATACGACACGACCTACCAGACTTCTATTTCCAAACGAAATTCCTTCACGACCCTGGGAAGTAATCTCCGTGGACAAGATAGGCGTATTACCGGATTCCTTCGGGTACAATGCGATTCTCGTAATTGTCTGCATGTACTCTAAGCAGATAATCGCAATACTAAGTACTATTGAACTCAATGCCGAAGGGTGGGCAAAAGCACTCCGAGATAACGTAGTCGCACATCATGGATTACCCCAAAAAATCATCAGTGATAGGGGAACTGAATTCAAGAATCAGTTCATCTCGGAGTTGAACCAATCCCTCGGAATTGAAGCCAACCCTTTCAAGTACACGCCGGCGATCAAATCGCACAAGTCATTTTGGAACGCATTGCGTCATGCGATATCGAGGAGGTGTCCAGTTTAACAGAGACTCAACGAGGGTCAGGAGGTTTTGGATCGACGGGTAAATAATCGTGAGGACACGATTCTAAACGGGGGGGTAATGTCATGAATATTACATATTCCGGATGGTTCTCCCAGATTCCATGGTATTCTTTTACTTTCTATACACCTCTGTATATTCGTAGGATATTCTAGATATTCAGTCTGACATGTATATAAGAAGCTCGTACTGCTCAATAACAAGCCAGACTCGAGCTGGTCTTTCCTCACTCACATTCCTCTCGTCTGTCTCCTCAGCATTGTCGTAGCCCAGTCCAGTTGGATTGTTAGTTGCTGACAGTCGGCTATCGCCTCAAGCGTCATCTCAAGCGCACCCACATGCATCCGGCCTCGACCGCACCCTCGGAGTCCTCATGCATCTGCGCACCAAACTCTCCGCCCACGGGCGCCAGCGCGCTGGGCTTCGTGACACCAGCGTGAACACTGCAGGCTTCGACTTTGGACGCAAATCAGATGGCTCACGCACAGCGTCTGCAGCGTAGCCGCCACTGATCAAGGACTACGGCATCAACGACGCGGGCCAAAATCAGATGCGGCGCTTTGTCACTGATGACACCAGCTTCAGCGTACTTCCGCCTGCCTAATCGGCCAGCAGTTCCTCATCAATGGCGCCCTGTGCGGGCCTTGGGTGTAAGTTCTGTTCAATGCTCCAGCCGCCTTTCCAATCCTGATGCTCACTTTGTTCCTGAAAGCAGCGGTGTTCGCTTTTCGCACAGCCATTAAACCACGTGCGAGCAAGCTGTCCGAGCAGGCTATACTAGGAATAGCCCACGAGGCGGACGACCAATCTCCTCGTTGCACGGTGCTTGCTCGTCACTCTGTCTTAGACCAAGCTACAACCTCGAATTCTGTCTTGAACGACATATCCATAATTGTGCTTTGTTCTTCTTTGAGATATACTTTTGACATTCGAGTCGAGGAACCGTCCAGCTGCACGTGTGTCCGTTTGACAGCTCAAGGACACCGCATTGACCGAAGCAAGCCATCCCCTCGACATGACAACATTGTGAGTTGCAGCGCGGTCATCATGCCCAGTCTTGTTCACTAGAATGTGTAGGTCCTGGAGTAGGACATTGGTGTATGGGCAAACATGTCGCTGGATCCGCAGTCGGCAAGGCGTAGCGACCCGTATTCCAGCGGCCTACTACCGGAGAGATTCAGCGACCTACATCCCAGCGACCCACAGCCCAGCAACTCACACCCCATCAGCCCGCAGTCTGGATATCTGCAGCCAGCAAGTGCCAGCGACCATGACCTGCAGCTGGTGAAGTCTAGCGGCCCGCGCCCAGTGAGAACCATTGTTGGACATTCATCCTACATAGACTCATAACAATTACCTTAGGCTTGCCCAGGCATGGAACATCGAGGGGTGGTGTGCTGTGGGTGTGGAAATCTAATCTTCAGTGTACGTCACAAGTGTGTGGAATGCATCGGGTTTGACCTGTGCCAAGACTGCATATCTGTTGTGTCGCTTTGTTCTCAACATGAACATGCCCATACGCTCTTTCCGATCGAGTATCCTTGGGACCACCGCTCATTTCGTGATTTATCGATAGTGCTACATAACGTGGATCACGATGTCATTTGTCATGGCTGCTGGCAAGAGTCGGTCATCGGCGTACGTTACAGGTGCCTCTCATGCTACGACTTTAATTTCTGCTCTGCATGCTTCAACAACATCAAGAGGCGTTCCGCACATCATATCTCTCACGAGTTCTTTCCCATCCGAAGCCTAGAAGAAGAAGAAGAAGCAAAATTCTTTGCCGCGCGAGACAACACTCAGACTCCTCCAACTTTCCTGGGAGACCATGGCGTACTCCTTCCCCGGAGAGATGTGACAGGATGCACCCCCTACGATGCAACCGGTCGACGTTCCGACACAGCATGCAGCAAATGCAGCGGACTTCCTGTCGAACACTGCTGCGTTGACTGTGGTGGCGACTATGGACTTTGTACTGCTTGCATGAGCAATCCGCATGTCTGCATGTCCCACAACCCTCTACATAAATTCACCCCACTAGAGTCGTCTATGGCACGGCTCGAGTCTGAACCAGATCCATCCTCGGAGCACGATGACATCGCGAGCCAGACCAAGTGCGGTGGCTGAATCCGTGTGCACCAACAACATACTCACCTCACAGATAGAATAGCCCAGGCGGCAATGTGGTATCCTATAGTGACTGCGATCGATATAAGGACAAGATGCCAGGTGGTATCATGAAATCCGAACAAGTCCAGCACTTGCTGTCCAGTCGCGGCAGTACACTCGCCGTTAGTAATGGTATCTGGCGGACAGTTGAACACCTTTCCCTGCATCTCGTTGATGAGCTGCGTTTAGTGATGTGCGGGCCGGGCCTCAAAGCCTGCAAGCCCGCCAAGCCTGGCCCAAAAAGCCTGGCCCGAGTCAAGCCTGGCAGCAGGCTCAAGGCTGGGCTCAGAGCGTAGTCAAGTCCAAGCCCGGCCCGGAAGCCCAGGCTTGGGTGTGCTGGCTCCGTTACCGTTCCCTGAGTTCAGAATAAGGAGAGAGCGACCTAATATGCACATAGAAGACAAAATGTAGATATTCTAGACGTAACGGCTCTCACCGAGCACGATTGTGCGTCACCATCTGGTGCCTGCCGTAGGCGCATGCTTGTGGACTTCGCTGCGACTCGACTTGTTCTGCAGGTGTAGATCTTCTGGAGGTTATAATTTAGTGAGTACATGCAGTATTAATCTACTACACCCAAATACATTTCCTTTTGATAGCACCGGAACACTCGTTGTATTGTGAGCAAGCCCAGGCTTAAGCTCAAGGCTTGGGCTGGGCTCAGGCTCGGCTTGGGCTCAGGGCTCGGCTCGACGTCGCCACAAGCCCAAGCCCGGGCTTTGAGCCCAAGCCGGGCCCGCACATCACTAGCTGCATTCGTACTCCGTACTTCATTGGGAAAATCCACGCAATATCCTGAAGAAACAGGGCAATCGACGCAGAAAGGACACTACCAGCCTGCGAGACGACAGCGAGGAAGACAGAGACGAGGGACACGGAAAGGCCCATGGTGTCGAAGAACGACGCGAAGGCTATGCCGACACTCTTGCCGAAGCTGAGCTGTATCCAGACAAAAACAGTAAATTCAAAGTAGATCCGTGCGTTGCTTTGCATACCCGTAGCGACGTTCATGATGACGGAAAACAGAAGGGCGGAGATGAACTCAGGGACGATAGCAAAGATGGTGAATGCCGTGATAAATGTGGCGCTCGAATACCGCCCACCAGCCGATTTGTAGTCGTGGAAGAAGACGGTCTTCTCCATCGGGTAGAGTGCAGCCAAGTTCAGGAAGCCAACATAAGCAAGAGCAGTGGTAGTTTCCACAATCAGACCGATGCGATCTTGAGCACTCGTTGGACCGTTGGACAGTCGCAGGAAGAATAAGAAGAAACAGATAGCTAGAATTGGGGCCTGGGTCCACCTGGTCCAGAAGATATCCGGCTGTCTCCAGCTGTTGCAGAATGTTCGATCGAGGACGACAGGAAGGGCGATCCATATGGGCGTGTACTCTGGACGATCTTCTAGCTCTACAGGTGTATCGGCAACTGCTTCTTTAGCGGCGACGGATTTGCTAGCTATGTACTCGAGCATTTTGTCTTGTCGGGTCTTCCAGGACTCAATCAAAAATTTGACACAAGCCGAGGTCTGTTCTTGCCTAGCCTGTCCACGCACGTCGATCGATATTAAATCCATACAGTAGTCCGACGGATTGTAGGACGGAGGGCAGACATAGCCTGCTAACGCAAAATGGGGAAGTAGTTGCTCTCGAGGACCTTGATAGACAACATTTCCTTGCTGGATTGGCCGTGAATCAGTAAATAAAAGCAAGCACTAGTTCACTAAGGTAATACCTTGGCTAGAACTACGAAGTTATCGACCATGTTATAGATGTCGCTGCGGGGCTGGTGCAGGGATGCTATCACAGTCCACCTGTAAAAAATTGTTCAGAATGGTCTCGACGCTGGATATACCTTGAGACTTACCCGCTGCGGGCAATATCTTGAAGAGCCTCCATCACGTTTCGTGCTGTGCTGGCATCTAAACCGCTGGTCTGCCCAGTCTATCAGACACGATCATTCGACTGCTGAAGACAAAAGGTGTACATACAGGTTCGTCAAGAATGAGCACTGCGGGGTCATTGATCTATCCAACCTTCCATCAGTATCCCATACAACGGTGAATGCACCAAAGACTGTACCATTTGACATGCTAACGATAGCCTGCGCTTCTCTCCATCCAATATCCCCTTCAGTAACTCGCTGCCGACCATTCCATCAGCGCAGTCCCGAAGACCGAGCATCCTCAGAACTTCTTCCGCACGAGCAATCTTGTGCTTGCAACTGACTGTGCTGTGCAACTTGATGATAGCTGCAAACCGGAGCGTCTCCCGTACGGTCAATGCTGGCAGGTGATAGTTGTCATCTGCATCTTCCCATCAGCACAACGAACACGAGAGGGCTAATGCAACCTCAATCTATTCACATACCTTGCTCGACGAAGGCACATATATGCCTTGTGCGACTCGATACAGGTACACCATTGAGCTTGATCTCTCCATGCCCCTCAAACGAGCTGACCAGCCCACCCTTTGTCGGCCGCCCAGCACACATCCGCAGGAACGTACTCTTCCCCGACCCACTGGGTCCCATGATCACCGATACCTCACCGCTCGGAAACCGCGCACTAACATCTGTCAGGATCGGCGTCTCGATGCGCTTGAACGACGGAAGCGTCCGGCGGACATGGAAGAGTCCGACGTGCTTGGCGGTGACGTCGACGCACGCCCACACGATGTTGATCTCCGCCTCGCTGATCTCTTTGCCCTTGACGTCGCTCGCAACGCACTGCGCATGTCGCACACCGCCGGGCTTCCACACCATAAGCAAAAACCACGAGAAGGTCATGACGGCGAGCAGGAATCCCAGGTTGCCGAGGAACATCAGCCACAGTGGCTCCGTGGGTGAGATGCGCAGGCCACGGAGCACGTTGTTGCCTGAACACTGTGCGAGTGCGGAGGCGGTGACACCTTGGCAGGAGAATGTGCAGTTGCGGAACTGGGAGATGACGACGATGCGGAAGGAGAAGAAGTGAGGGGAGATCCAGCGGAACCAGCGAATCCAGCCTGGGACGTTGACAATAAAAAAGCCTGGGGAAAAGATGAAGAAGATAGAAAAAGCGTTCCTGAGGAGTGAAACCCGTTGTCGTAAAGAAAAGGTTAGGATAAGAAAAGTAAGTAAAAAATAAAAAATGAGGTTTGGTATAAAGAAGATTCTAGGAGAAATCCTAGAAGGCTACTTTTTAATAAAAGAGAATGGAGTTTGGTCTGTTCTAAACTAAAAGCAAGAAGGGTATAGTATGGAATACTTAGATTTGGTTTTCCCAATCTTTTCTTTCCAGGGTTCACTGGGTTAGCCTTTCACCCAAGCTATCCTGGTGTTCGTGGGGGACTAATTCAAAGACCACCTACTAATTTGCTTAAGTACTCTAAAGCCTCACTTGCCTGTTTACAAGGGACTTTTTAAGGAATCTTAGAAGATGGGCTGTAAGGAGGTTTGGTTAGTAGCTTAAAGACTAGCTACTTGGGTTAGTAGAATAGGGTTTTTAGATAAGTAAGAAAAGAGGGTAACAAAGACAAGTTAATGTCTTGGTTAACTTGGTAAGCTTTGGCTAGTGAGGACAGTTTAATGTTCTTAGAGGATTTGTATAACTTGAAGCAGTCTGAGGCTTCCAATTTAGAGTTGAAGATCAAGAATAGAATTAATCTCTTTACTGCTAGTCTAATTACTGTAAGCTCTACAGGAGACATACCACAGTCTCAAATAATGACGCCACTAGCTCTAGCAGTCTAGGATTAGTCAAATAGTGAACTCGTGCACTATACCAAGGGCGTTTCCCTTCAGGTTATTTGAAAGTCAGAGGCTCTACTGTGCTTAAGGAATTTCCTAGGCTTTAAAGAAAGGAGTCTATTCTCTGAGAGCTAAAGAGCTCAGGGAATTAACTGCAGGTTTGCTGCCAGCTAAATCCTTGAGAGTGTGTGTGATGCTTGGTGGGTTGGTGTGTTCGTGTCCTTTTTGCTCTCAGAGAACCTCTCCTATTTATACCTTTCAGCCTGTTGTTCCTTAGCCAATAGCAAAAACTGGCTCTTCTATTCTACTGTAATTACTAAGCTACTTCTACTTTTATTAATAAGCATTTTGTCTGTATTAGTCAGCCTTCTGTCTGTTTTACTAATGTATTGGTAAGCTATTACTAATGTTTGTTAGAGTATTACTATATTTTGGTAATTCATAGCTGTTGAGCATAGACCTTTACTAAGCATAGTTTTTAGATTACTAAGAAGCTGAGTCATATTAGTCATTGATTCACTTTTAGTAAGCTTAAGTGTTTATGCTTACTTTGCAGCTCTGAGTAAGTGGTTTCTTTTTAATTTGAATACCTATTATTCCTTTAGTTTTTCTATACTTATAGTTATGGTGCATGACACCATGCGAAGCTACGCTACACCACAGGCTTGGATCCGCCAATGGACAATCAGCAAAGAAGCCGCAGCGCTTAGATTGTTGACTGAATGGGTACACTCAAAGAAGAGTGTTGACGCCTCCAAAGCCTGTATGAACCAAATCAGGCAAATGAAAGAAGAAGAAGCAATAGACTTCTTGAATGAATTACGAAAGCAGCCTCGATTTATCCAAGGAAGAAAGGGGACACAGATGGACGTCCCAATGATCATCACTACCCTGGACACGCAGCAGCGCTTATCAGTCAAAGCGCTATTAGACACTGGATGCACCGAACCATCTATTGATGCGCAGTTTGTCCGCGATAACAACATCGCTACAAAGAAACTGCCATCACTGATCCCTGTCTATAACGCGGACAGCATGCATAATGCAGGCAGCGCTATCACCGACTTTGTCAAATTAAGGGTGGAAATTCAGGACCATGTTGAACGGCTTCTGCTCGCCGTTACCAATCTAGGGAAGACCCCAATCTTCCTTGGATATGAGTGGCTACAGATTCATAATCCATCTATTGATTGGCAGGAACAAGTCATTTAGTTTGATCGGTGCCCGATTACCTGCAAATATGCCACCTGATTAATTGATATTGATGCCAATAAAGAAGAGCCCAGCGATCCGGAGGCTTGCCTAGAAGAAGGGGATAGAATCTTTATTCTAGACCATGAAACATACTTTGCTATGGGAGCAGCACATATTCGCACCACAGCCACTGATCTAGCGATCAAAGAAAGTCTGAAACACAAAGCCAAGACCTTTGAAAATACCGTCCCGAGTCACTATCACAATTACTCCAACATATTTAGCAAAGAAGACTTCGACTCTTTACCGCAAAGACGACCATGGGACCATGCAATTGAACTCACACCAGGCGCACAACCAATCAGTTGCAAAGTTTACCCTATCTCCGTAAATGAACAAAAAGAACTTGATGAGTTCATAGAAGAGAATCTCCAAACTGGGAGAATCCAACCATCAAAATCCCCGTGGGCTTCTCCATTCTTCTTTGTCATGAAAAAAGATGGACAACTTCGACCCGTACAAGATTATCGAAAGCTGAATGAGCTGACAATTAAAAACTGCTACCCACTTCCTTTGATACAGGAACTAGTAGACAAGCTAAAGCAGGCGCGGTACTTTACAAAACTAGATGTCTGATGGGGATACAACAACATCCGTATCAAAGAAGGAGACAAAGAGAAGGCAGCATTCCTAACAAGTCGAGGACTATTCGAGCCACTTGTTATGTTTTTTGGTCTTACCAATTCCCTGGCTACATTCCAAACTGTGATGAACGATCTCATCAGTCAAGGACACGTGGTAGTCTATCTAGACGACATCATGATCTTCACTCAAGATTTGAAAGAACACCGTTGGATCACGCGGCAAGTTCTTCAGATCTTAAGAGAACACAAACTTTATCTGAAACCAGAAAAGTGTGAGTTCGAGAAATCAGAAATAGAATACCTCAGAATGATAGTAGGAAAAGGAGTTGTTCGCATGGACCCAGTCAAGATAGAAGGAGTTGTCAATTGACCTCGACCCGAGTGCAAACAAGACATTCAGGCATTCCTTGGATTTACCAACTTCTACCAAAGGTTCATCCGAGATTATGGCAAAATAGCAAAACCGCTCAGTTCACTAACAGGCAATGCTACCTTCAAATGGACCGTCGAACAAGAAGTAGCCTTCACAAACTTGAAGAACGCTCTCTGCACAGCGCCAGTGCTAGCCATACCCAATGACAACGACCCATACCAAGTAAAATGTGACGCCTTGGACTTTGCCGTAGGAGCAGAGTTAGCCCAGAAACAAAATGGCAAATGGAAGCCTGTTGCTCACCTGTCTAAAGCCATAACAGCTGCCGAAAGAAATTACGAGATTTATGATAAGGAACTTCTAGCAATCATGACTAGTCTTGATGAGTGGCGTCAGTACCTCATGAGCACCATACATCTGTTTGAAATATGGACAGATCACAAGAACCTAGAATACTTCCGGAAGCCGCAGAAGCTCAACTGGCGGCAGGCCCAATGGGCAACCGAGTTAGCTGAATATCAATATTTGTTGCATCACAAGCCCGGTAAATCTAATGGCAAAACAGACAGACTATCTTGCCAAAAGAGGCACAATGCAGGAAAGGAAGACAATTCAGATATTGTGTTACTGAAACCAGGACATTTTTGTGCCCTAATTCGTAGCACCGTATTTAGTTTAGAAGGAATTGACCAGGACTGGGTCACAGAAATTAAAAAATTCAAAAAGAACCGAGATTTGCTAGTTACCGTAGCTTTACAGAATAAGGACAAAGACTGGGATGAAGATGACACCGGACTCGTGACATGGAAAAATTGTATCTACGTACCAGTAAATAGAAGACTCTGTGAGCAAATCATTGCTCATCACTATGATACCCCATTGGCTGGACATCCTGGCCAATACAAGACACATGAAATGGTCACGCATAACTACTGGTGGCCTCAAATCCAAGAAGACATCCGGAAGTACGTGGCCAGATGTGAGAAATGCCAGAAGACCAAGGTTCATACGACACGACCTACCGGACTTCTATTCCCAAACAAAATTCCTTCACGGCCCTGGGAAGTAATCTCCGTGGACAAGATAGGCGTATTACCAGACTCATTTGGGTACAATGCCATCCTCGTAATCGTCTGTATGTACTCTAAACAGATAATTGCGATACCAAGTACCATTGAGCTCAACGCCGAAGGATGGGCAAAGGCACTCCGAGATAACATAGTCGCACATCATGGACTACCCCGAAAGATCATCAGTGACAGAGGAACTGAATTCAAGAATCAGTTCATCTCTGAGTTGTACCGATTCCTCAGAATCGAAGCCAATCCCTCAACCGCATATCACCCCCAGACAGACGGACAAACAGAACGCATCAATTGCAAGATAGAACAATATCTCCAATTATTCATCAACTACCCACAGGCTGATTGGGCTGAATGGCTGCCTCTCGCAGCATTTTCGTACAATAATAAAGTCCACTCCTCCACCGAATATACTCCTTTCTTTGTCAATAAAGAATATCACCCTTACAAAGAAACTCAACCGGTACGAGAAGGACTGAGCAAAAATGTCCAACAATTTGTTGATCGAATGAGTCAGGTACGCGAAGATACCAGTGCGGCTATAGGACTAGCACAGGAATCCATGAAACGTTTCTATGATAGGAAAAGAAAGAGCAGACTGGAGTACAAGGCCAAAGATAAAGTTTGGTTAGAAGGAATAAACATCTGAACTGACAGACCAATGAAGAAGCTTGACGATAAGTGATACGGACCCTTCAAGGTCAAACGCAAAATTGGCGCTTCTGCCTATGAGTTGGAACTCCCGCGTCAATGGAAACAACATCCTGTGTTCAATGAAAGTCTTCTTAGTCCCTTCAAAGAACCAACGTATCCCTCGCAACAACGTGAACCCGTAGTCCCTGACCTTGTAAATGGCGAGGAAGAGTGGAAAGTTGGAGAAATTCTTGACTCCCATCGTGATCAAAACGGAAACCTGGAGTATCAGGTGCTCTGGAAGAACAGTCCCCACGGCGATCGCCATTCCTGGGAATCACAGGTGAACTTGACTAATTGTCAAGAACTCCTTCAGGAATTCCATGCGAGACGTCCTGACAAACCCGCGCCTATGACAATTCGAATCCCCCCTCTATTGACACAACCCGTTCACATGCTCACACGTGATACCACTCTTTTGGTACAACGGATGGGTGGGATTCTCCCGAAGCAAGGATCTGAAGAAGCTGCTGGTCTCGACCTCTACTCGGCTGAGAGCACTAAGATACCGGCGCGAGATCGCAAGATTGTCGGTACCGGCATAGCGATGTGTGCCCCTCACGGAACCTGTGTGCGGATTGCGCCACAAAGTGGATTAGCAGTCAAAGGGACAGATATTGGCACTGGAGTCGTAGACGGAGACTACACCGGAGAAGTACGCATGGTGATGATCAATACCACCGATCAACCCTTCCAGGTACGCGCCGGCGATTGAATTGCACAAGTCATTCTGGAACGTATTGTGTCATGCAATATCGAGGAGGTTTCAAATCTATCCAAAACTCAGCGAGGAGGAGAAGGTTTTGGCTCGACTGGTAAATAATCATGAGGACACGATTCTAGATGGGGGGTAATGTCATGAATATTACATATTCCGGATGGTTCTCCCGGATTCCACAGTATTCTTTTACTTTCTATACACCTCCGTATATTCGTAGGATAATCTAGTTATTGAGTCTGACATGTATATAAAGAGCTCGTACTGCTCAATAACAAGCCAGACTCGAGCTGGTCTTTACTCACCCACTTTCCTCTCGTCTGTCTCCTCACTCTTGTCGTAGCCCAGTCCAGTTGGATTGTAGGTTGCTGACAGAAAGGCATGCCACGCGACGCAAGGTAGGAGAGAAAAGGGCGCTGTAGGATCAATGCCGTCAGTCCTGCGCGCGAAAATAGCCTCAGAGCTAGCAAAGTAACGGTCCGCCTTGTGCGCAAGCAGAACGCGACTAAAACTTGTGGTGTTGGTAGAGACCGAGCGTCGACGGACCAGCTTCAATGCAGGAGGAGCGAAGAGAGACATCGTCGGGCAAAACGAGTTCACGGGGCAGTCCATAACGAACGCCAAGGTGACAAACAAGAGATCGTCATGACTCAGAGATCCACGCTCGACTTGACCGACAGGAGATCCTCCGGGGTTGAGGGTCTTCGGCGTTTTAAACTGCTTCTCGCAGTGTCGTACAGGAAATAGTTTGTATATGAGAGCGCTCGAGAATCGAGCGCGGCGCGTTCCTCCGAGGTTCACTGGACCACGACGTTGAGTCGAGCTATCTCGGCGTTCGTGCGATTTGAGGGAGGGAGAGTAGCGAGTCGGTGTCGATGAATGCAAAGTTAGCGACGGTGGGACTTGCTGCGTATCCGGCAGACAACTTAGAGGGCGAACGCTGCCTGTTCTCACCAAGAGAACTTCAGTCGGATGGGCACTCAAGAGCTGCGGGCAAACAACAGGTATATTTCTCAGGTACTACTACTGACGTAGCCGAGAAGGAAAACACACGTTGCGGGGCAAGGTCTCTCTACTCTAATTCTCTACGGGCTACTACCTATATATTCTCAGGCCGTTTACCTTCGTTTTGATCCTCGCATTCGAGGGTGGTCCCTACAATCTGCCTCCGTCTGGTTCGAGAACGTCGCACTTTGCTTCCGACGGACTCGCAGAACAGACGACGCATTGCGCTATCTTCCCACGCGCTGGTCCGTGCGCTGCGCGGTGAGTTTCGTTCGTCGACGCAAAGTCGATGTCTGACAGCAGCCAGCAAAACAGCGCGTGGCGAGCCGCGACCGCAGGATAGAAAGGTTCAAGCTGGCTGCAGATGCCCGAACAGCGGGTCTCGACCGAGCCGGGCCTGATAAAGTGAGACATGTACTTCAACGACGGGGGTGTAATTAAGACGCACGTGGTCCTCACGGAACGCAGCGACCGGGACATGACTGGCGAGTCTACAGATCGAGTGGAAAATAATGGGCATCGCAGAAGGAGACGTACGATTGGAGGCGTGAAGCGTAAGCTTTGTGAGTTGACTTGTCCAAGGCGAAACCAAACAATTGCGCGCTCGCGAACAAGCTTCTCAAGAGACCTGGGACGCCTGGTGGGAATGCCCAGCTTTGCTGATGCATGTTCTGAAGGTAGCAGGCAGAAGGGACCTCATTGAATGCGGGGAATACGATCTCGGGTTGCGCATGAATACTTGTCCATGCGGCAAGCGTGATGTGAGCACGTACGGGGGTCGTTTAGCTCCGCGTCTTCGCGATACACATTCTCCACCTAAGCTTATACACGGCGTACGTCACTTCCTTTCTCACCTGCCCGCTGTACGTGTCGATAAGCGCAAGCCGTCGGAACTAACTTGAATAGCCAGGCTGAACGGTGTGCCAAGGGGACCTGCGAGGTTCGGAAACGTGAGATGGTCTGTAACGGGCATGACCGAGGACACAAGACGTGCATTGCGGACTCAACTGGCAGAGTTCGTCATAGCCGGCGGGCTCTTTGCCTCGTAACTAGTATGTCGCATGAAAGCTTGCTGGACACTGCAGCGGTGTAGGGATTCCATAAGTCTTTTTCACGCCTAAGAGTAAGCCGAGACGTATGTGTAGGACGACGAGGCTATACCGCTGCTGTAAAAGCCGTGCAGGGATTATGACAAGGCTTGAGGCAGCAGGCGATGTGTGAAAAGAAGATAAGTATTTTATGTTCCGGCTCGATATGGTAGCCTGATTTTGGATCAGTCGGCCCTAATGGTTATTGTGTTCAGTCGTATTTCAGCAATGACCGGTGAGCACAAAAGCACCTGCAGAGCGCACCTGGCTGACAAATAGCTATGTGATATCCGAACTGAACCAACTGTACGTTTAGCCAGCGAGTATTGTACCCAAATTGCACCGGACGGCGACTGTCATGGGCCTCGTCGCATGAAACGGCGGTGGCAAACTATTCTCATTGTGCTTCGGGCTAGGTACATATGCGCGAGCCGCTGCATCAGCGAGGCTCGCGAAAGACCGGACTACACCCCGCCAATGTCTATTGGATGAAAGCTTCGGACAAGTGAGTCAAGACCGAATATGACCCCAGCATAAGTACGCGGTGGTCGTCGCCCTCGGAGACGCTCTCCCTGTCCTGTTGATATTGACATCCTTGCCGTCTGGTGACTGCGGTCCAAAGGGAGAGCGCAGACCGAGAGGGACGCGAGTGTGGGGCTTGGAGATCGAAGTCGGCTGATCAGGTCGAGCAGCCGAGCGATGCATCGCTAACGCGGCAATCGTGACCATCGAGTGCTAGTATATGCAGATCTGCAGGGCAGCCTGAGGTCGCAGTGAGAATGGTGGCAGTAGTCAAGGGGCAAAAAGACTTACCAAGACAACATATTCCCTACAGAACCGTAGCTGTGAGGCTTGTGCGTGTGATTGATTCACGAGGCCGAGTGCAAGGAGGCCAGCAGGCTGTCGGGACTCTTGACGTAGTCTGTAGCCGAGAATGAGACGTATTGCGTGCATGAACGGGCAGAGGAGGACATACACAGTGCTTCAAATAGTGCCAGCGGTTCGTTGGCGCGATGGCACGCTGGCAGAAGGACGGTTCTCAGTGAACTCGACGCAGGAGGGCGATTCCCGTGTTGTCGTGACGTAAGTGCTTCCTAGCAAGCAGGAGTGGCAGTTGCAGAACGTGCGCTGTGCGAGGTCATAGCTAAATTTAGCAAGAAAAGCGCACAGGTCAGAATACAACCACGCACCTTGGCTCCCTGGGTCCAGTGGCATACTGCTCTCCTGGTGCGTACCGCCTATGCTCAGGTTCAACTCAAGTCCACCCAGATGTAGCCGAGTCGTTGACGTTGATGCCCTTCTGGACGGGTGACTGCATAATAAGCGAGGGGTTGCATGAGAGATCGATTTCACAGCGATGTGCTTCACACATGCAAATCACATGCCAGCCCGAGCGCGCTTGCAGCGTTGCGGTTCCGTCGTCCTCTGACATGTCCTTCGCCAAAAGACTATCTTTCTGCATGCTGCAGTCAATCTGCCCGGATATCTGTTGGAAAACTCCTGCTTGCTCGGGTCGTTATCACCGACGGACATCTCTGCGGCCCCTTTACGCCTTCCTGTACACCGACCGGTGTTGAGGCGAAGATGGGCCATATACTGTACACCCGAATATCCTGCTCAATATTCTCTCTGAGACAGCTGCATGCTGTATTCTGTAAGATGTACGTCAAACATTACGGACAATGTTCAACGTTCCCGTCGATCTGATGTCGGTTTGTAGGTGCAGAAGTCGTCCCTTGCCGCCTTCCGTCGTTTGTTTGGTCGCACTTGATTCGACGAGAATAACAACAGATACGCTTATTTTGTTGTCATGTGAGGGAGCATATCCTAAGAAGAGCATGTGATTGAACGAATCATCTATGCGTGATGGCGCACAGAACCTTTCTGGGGATGGTGGGGATGTTAATTCCAGACACGGACTGGCCAGTACCGGGGCGTAGCAATACGAAAATCACGTACGCAATTCCTCTGCACACCCCCTGGACCGCCGTGACTTGCGGCTTGGCCCAAGACTGGCAACAAATGTAAGTGTATTGGTTCCGCGGTCGAAGCCAACGCTGGCTCACCACAATGATTAGGCAGCGATATTGTATAGCGACTCTGCCCGAAATTCGTGCAAGTGCTTGAATCTTTATTCTGTGTGAGGGCTTCGCCGGCTCCACCACCTGTGTCCCTGGTATCGTCCGCACCGCCACCAACAATTTCAAGAAAACTTCTCCAGTTGCTTATGACCTTGTGGCTCGCAGTATCTTTCGGCCCACTCCCAGCACATTACCGGCTCCTCATCCTCAGCTCCACCAAGCGGAAATGCGACGCACAGTTCTCCTGCGCCCTCTAGCGGCGCACCGCCCAGTGCCGATCGTCTGCGTTCTGCGGGTGTTAGCATCGCCGGTCTCGACTTTGGCTGCAGCATGGACGGCTCGCGCATGGCCAACAGCACATGGTCTATTCTGCTCGAGCACCGCGGCTACGATGGCACAGGAAAGATGCAGCGCTTTCGACGACGACAGCTTCGGCGTCTTCTGTCACCCTGTCGGCTGGCAGTTCCTCACCGACGGCGTGCTCACTGACACACTCGACGGCTGACACACTCAGTGAGGATAACTTCTAGGAGCGCAATAGCCTTATCCAGGCTTTCTTGGCTACCGACGCAAGCTGCATCGTCAATGTGCACAGCTATGCTCGCTGGAATGGGTAGGTGACTTGTGTTCTCCGCGTTATATTGTACTCCCTGAACTGACGTCTACTTTTAGATTATCGGCCAAAGTGCTCCAAGCAATGAGATCTTCGCTTCACTCCGGGGCAGTATCGCAAGCGAATACGTCGACAATGACCAGATCATTTTCGGAGTGTAAGTCGTCTCAGCGTCCTTCATCCTGACTCGGACGTTCATTCTGTGTTAGCATGATCGAGCCCATGATATCCCTGACATCAATATCTGGGTGAGATCTATCCAGGCCGCTGTTACCGCCAGACGCCAGGCAGGCGCGGCAACGCAGCTGATCCCGCTCCCGGGCAATGACTACACATCCGCCGAGACCCTCATCTCAGACGGCTCCATGTCTGCCCTCGGCAATGGACTTCACAAACCTCGCCTTCTGCGCCCACAGGCACCTCGAGTCGGACCATTGGCACGTTCTTTGCTGGGCTTGCTCTAGATAGATGCTAATAGACTACGTGACCAGCAACATCAATGATGCCTTCGGCCTGCTTGCGACCTACTTGTGTGTCAGCGGCCGCCATGCGTTCAACACCGAGACCGGCGACAGAAACACCGACCCGTGTGCGACGCACCTCTGCTAGCGAATTGCCTTTGTCCAGCAGAAATTTGATGGTGCGCTCGTTTCTGTCACGTATGTAGCAACGGCTGACGAGGATGTGCAGTCTTCCTCGGCTATGTCAGCAGGGCCGCAGACCACTTTGACTCAAGCTACGCCCTCCGCGAGGTCCCAACGGACACCAACGGTGTCTAGGCTGATGCATCGCTTGCTTGGCACCATATTAATTCTGAGAACGGCGGATTCCTCTCAGACCTTCAGATGTTTGTCGTGTTTTACTCGGAGCTGTACTCTGGCATCGACGAATTGCATGCATGCTTCTACCCGGCAGTTTCGCGAGCGCCGAGAGTGAGAATGGACGATTGCTGACATGCCTCTGACTATCCGGCTCGAGGAGGCACAAGGTCAGTCCGTTTCGCCTTTACCGTGATCTCCGGACGCTGACGCAAAGTTCAGGCATCCTGTGTGCGAGTCATGGGTCCTGTGTACTGACATTTGCTCCAGCTGGCTTGGCTGCGGAGGCATGAGCATTCTCCTGGATATTGCCGCCGCATGTGTCGCACGCAGTAAGAAGCCAGGCTTGACTTGGTAAGCGACTGTCTCTTGACATAGGTAAAAGACACGAAGTGGACCCTTACCCCTGCGACTCTTGCGCTTTGAATTGTCTCTGCCAAGGCGTCGGCTCATGTATAGCAGCAACGTATCAATCGGCCATGTTGCAAGAAGACAAGCGGCTGATGAATGAGTTTTGTTTCCAGGTAGTATTGTTGGTTATGAGCGCTGAGGTTTGGGATTCAAATTCTGAAGACTTCATCATAGCTATCATTGCAGAGCTGAACAGGCCCTACCACTTGCGTGTCCTGTGGCTTTTGCAGCGAGCGAGCTCGATGATCGTACGTGGCAAGATCTTTATTGTTGTCTAGACCCGCTACTTACGCTTTCTACCAGACCTCCCACGCATCCCGTAGATTGCAGTACTCGGGCGGGTCCGCTGCCCTGCCAACAGCGAGGGCGATCGCAAGCATCGTGACTATCACCTCCCTACCGAGCGCCGAGCAGCAGCTTCTACAGCTCTTCGTCGACCATCGCCTCAAGCGTCATCTCAAGCGCACCCACAGGCATCCGGCCTCGACCGCGCCCTCGGAGTCCCCATGCACCTGCGCACCAAACTCTCCGCCGGTGGGTGCCAGCGCGCTGCGCTTCGCGACACCAGCGTGAACACCGCAGGCTTCGGCTTTGGACGCAAATCGGACGGCTCGCGCACGGCGTCCGCGGCGTAGCCGCCACTGATCAAGCTTCAAGGACTACGGCATCAACGACGCCGGTCAAAATCGGATGCGGCGCTTTGTCACTGATGACACCAGCTTCAGCGTACTTCCGCCTGCCTAATCGGCCAGCAGTTCCTCATCGATGGCGCCCTCTGCAGGCCTTGGGTACGGTAAGTTCTGTTCAATGCTCCAGCCGCCTTTCCAATCCTGGTGCTCACTTTGTTCCTGAAAGCAGCGGTGTTCGCTTCTCGCACAGCCATTAAACCACGTGCGAGCAAGCTGTCCGAGCGGGCTGTACCCGGAATAGCCCACGAGGCAGACGACCAACCTCCTCGTTGCACGGTGCTTGCTCGTCACTCTGCCTTAGACCAAGCTACAACCCCGAAATCCGTCTTGAACAACATATCCATAATTGTGCATTGTCCTTCTTTGGG